GGAGAAGAAGAAATTGGGAGGGGAGGGGGGAGAAGAAGAAATTGGTAGGGGGGAGAAGAAATTGGGAGGGGTAGAAGAAGAAATTGGAAGGGGGGAGAAGAAGAAATTGACAGGGGGGAGAAGAAGAAATTGACAGCGGGTGAGAGTGACAGGGGAGGGAGGGGCAATGAGAGTGGGAAGGGGGAGGGGAGAAGAGAGTGACAAGGGAGAGGGGGGAGAAGAGAGTGACAAGGGAGGGAGAGGGGGGAGAAGAGAGTGACAAGGGAGGGGGGAGAGATACACTCCACCCCCTGTGAACAAACTCATTGGTGGAACATGAAGGTGGACCCTGGGACCCAGACCTTGAGCTGTGTAAAGGGCCCCCCAAAAATGGAGCTGCTTCCCGTTCTCCCAGAATATAGATTTTTGTGACTACAGTTACAAACAGCCTCCAGAGAGCCTGTTCTACACCAGACCAGTGGAGCCAGACTGCAGCTAGAGCCCATCATCATCCTCATCTCGTTGTAAGTAGGCAATCTAGTATATTATTCGTGGCACTAATCTCTAATTTACCTCACATTAAAGAAACACTATAGTCCCCAGAACCACTGCAGCTTAATGTAGTGGTTCTGGTGTCTATAGCCTGTCCCTGCATGCCTTATAATGTAAACACGGCGGCACTGCAGCACTGGCGTTAGTTAACATGGCAGATCATATGGGTGGAGCATTGTGATGTCACATGGGAGGGGGGGGCGGCAAACTTTACTTTTGCCTAGGGCGGCAAAAATCCTTGCACCGGCCCTGCACAAAAGGCCTATTTCTCTCAAATATTGTTCCCAAATCTGTCTAAATCTGTGTTAGTGAGCACTTCTCCTTTGCTGAGCTAATCCATCAACCTCGCAGGTGTGGCATATCAAGATGCTGATTAGACAGCATGATTATTGCCTTAACCAGGATTCATCCGTGAAGAGAACACCTCTCCAAAGTGCCAGATGCCATTGAATGTTAGCATTTGCCCACTCAAGTAAGTTACAACAACGAACTGCAGTCAGGTCGAGACCCTGATGAGGACGACGAGCATGCAGATGAGCTTCCCTGAGATGGTTTCAGACAGTTTATGCAGAAATTCTTTGGTTATGCAAACCGATTGTTGCAGCAGCTGTCCGGTGGCTGGTCTCAGATGAGGCTGGTGTGGTTACATATAGTCTGCGGTTGTGAGGCCGGTTGGATGTACTGCCAAATTCTCTGAAACGCCTTTGGAGACGACTTATGGTAGAGAAATGAACATTCAATTCAGGGGCAACAGTTTTGGTGGACATTCCTGCCGTCAGCATGCCAATTGCACAATCACTCAAAAGTTACAACATCTGTGGCATTGTGCTGTGTGATAAAACTGCACATTTTAGAGTGGCATTTTATTGTGGCCAGCCTAACACACCTGTGCAATAATCATGCTGTCTAATCAGCATCTTGATATGCCACACCTGTGAGGTGGATGGATTATCTCGGCAAAGGAGAAGTGCTCACTAACACAGATTTAGACAGATTTGTGAACAATATTTGAGAGAAATAGGCCTTTTGTGTACATAGAAAAAGTCTTAGATCTTTGAGTTCAGCTCATGAAAAATGGGGGCAAAAACAAGTGTTGCATTTATAATTTTGCTCAGTGTAATTTCTTTTGACGTCAAGACTCCTAAAAATAGCTGTATAGGTTAATGACACCTTAAAGGGTTAAAACAAGCACCATGACCACTTCAGTAATTTGAAGTTGTCATGGTGCCTGAAGTCTGTATGTGCAACATTTCGCACATACATAGATTAACCCCTTAGCTGCTGGAGGTGTAACTCCTCTGGCCGCATCATTAGCCATCCTAGAAGTTCCAGGCTGGCAAATTTCAATTCTGTGCAAAACTGGCATCTAATGCAAGCACACACAGCATTGTACTAGAATTTACTATCTATGTAATCTTCATTAAAAACATTAACTCCTATTGGCTCTACCTGGCTGTAATCAAACCAGTCAGTATTCCTTTCAAATAATTGTTTCCCGAGAATCTAGTGCAATCCAGCAATCGAACGGGAAAAAAACCTCAATGTATAATGTAATTTAATAATACAAGATTCGATAACTGACAGCAAGTAACCTCTGCTGGATTTCACTGATGGGGAACAATAATGCTAGTTTGTGAGAATTGGATTATCTCACACTGTGCTGATATGCATTCTATTTAAAGGTGCTGAAATCTTGGAGAATTACAAAATTAGCATTACGCATGTTTTATTAGGAATGATTTAAACAATGATGGGCGCACATCATTTGAGTCCCATTTTGCACAGAATGAAGTTACTGTAAAGCTATGCAAAGTCATAGTGGGAAATGGAAAACAAGAAATGTCTATGCCCAGTCACCGAAGGATTCTCTCTTCACCAAATTGTCACATTGCAACTGCTCATTCACACTTAACAGCCACGAACTGCATAACAGCTTTCAATTACCAATAATGCAACCACGCTTTATTTATCCACATGTCCCATCGTGGAAGCGTGTGACAAATTGCGCCTCCTGACATTGCAAGGCACCATCTTTGGAAGAATCCTTCTCTATATGACAGTGCGTGTGTTGGAAACGGTGACGGTCACCGTTATTTCGCTCTCTGTACGCATGTGTTTCTCTCTGTGTTATGGTTTAACATTTTGTATTGTACTGCACATTTATAATTAATAAAATATTAAAATAATTTGTCCAATGGGAATTTTTTTTGAAAAATTCAAAATATCAATAATAAAAAAAATAAAAAAATCTCTTATGTCAAATCAGTTTTTTAGGCAATGTTTGACATTCTCTCTCTCTATAAAAATATCAGTAAAAAGTTGATCAGTATTGGTTGGGAGGAATTCATTCCCATTACCCCAATCACAGTTTAAGGAAAGGATACAACAACTCCACGTCTTCTCCCTGCAGAAAAAAACAAATAAATTTTTACAACAAGAACAGTAGTTATCAGTAAGACTCAGCCCCCCTCCCCTGCTCTCTGTATAAAAATCAGCCGCCTGCTCTCTGTATAACAATCCCCCTGTATATCACTCAGCCCCCCTCCCCCGCTGTCTGTATAAAAATCAGCCGCCTGCTCTCTGTATAACAATCCCCCTGTATATCACTCAGCCCCCCTCCCCCGCTGTCTGTATAAAAATCAGCCCCCCCCAGCTCTTTGTATAACAATTCCCCCCAGGTCTCTGTATACCAATTTCCCCCAGCTCTCTGTATAACATTCACCCCCCCCCAGCTCTCTGCATAACAATCAGCTCCCTGTATAACAACCTCCCCCCCAGCTCTCTATATAACAATCCCCACCAGCTCTCTGTCTAACAATCACCCCCCAGCTCTTTGTATAAAATCCCCTCCCCCCAGCTGTGTATAACAAGACCCTCAGCACTCTGTATAACAATCCCCCCCAGCACTCTGTATAACAATCACACACCCTCAGCTCTCTGTATAATAATCCCCCTCAGCCCTCTGTATAACAATCCCCACCAGCACTCTGTCTAACAATCACCCCTCAGCTCTTTGCAGAACAAACCCCCCCCCAGCTCTGTGTATAACAAGACCCCCAGCACTCTGTATAACAATCACACACCCTCAGCTCTCTGTATAATAATCCCCCTCAGCCCTCTGTATAACAATCACACACCATCAGCCCTCTGTATAACAATCCCCCCAGCTCTCTATATAACAACCCCCTCTCTGTATAACAATCCCCACCAGCTCTCTGTCTAACAATCACCCCCAGCTCTCTGGATAACAATCACCCTCCCACCCCAGCTCTCTGTAGAACAATCCCCCCAGCTCTGTGTATAACAAGACCCCCAGCACTCTGTATAACAATCCCCCCCAGCACTCTGTATAACAATCACACACCCTCAGCTCTCTGTAGAACAATCCCCCTCAGCCCTCTGTATAACAATCACACACCCTCAGCCCTCTGTATAAAAATCACACACCCTTAGCTATCTGTATAACAGTCTCCCCCACCCCCCCAGCTCTCTATAACAATCCCCACCCAGCTCTCTGTATAACAACCCCCAAGCTCTCTGTATAACAATCCCCACCCAGCTCTCTTTATAATAATCACCCTCCCTCCCCCCTACCTGTAAGATGCTGAGATACTGGCAGCTCTCTACATAACACTGTAAGATACTGGGAGCTCTCTGTATAACACTGTGAGATACTGGCAGCTCTCTGTATAGCACTGTAAGATACTGTGAGCTCTCTGTATAAAACACTGTGGGATACTGGCAGCTCTCTGTATAACACTGTAAGATACTGGCAACTCTCTGTATAGCACTGTAAGATACTGGCAGCTCTCTTTATAACACTAAGATACCGGGAGCTCTCTGTATAACACTGTAAGATACTGGCGGCTCTCTGTATAACACTGTAAGATACTGTAGAGAGCTAGGTTCCAGGTACACGTGGCCCTGCGGCTGCCTCTCCTGGGAGAGCAACCCCTGTATGAGTGGGTAGAGAAACTGTGGGATTTGATCTGGAATGGGTTGTGGCTGGACGAGGCTTACTGGGCACTAAAGTGGTACGCCTTCTGGCGCGACTACTGGAGGGCTGATGACAGTATGCCGGAGGGTGAGGACTACAATGGCCCAGGCTTACTGTGGGAGGCCTTTGAAGAGGGCAGTGATTTTGGGAGTCTAGCAGAGTATCGGCTCTGGGACATCCACAAAATCAGGGGAACCCTGCTGGATCTTCCTAGAGCTGACGACCTGGGGCCAGACATGATCCATCTGGTCACCATGGAGTGGGAGCTGGAGCAGAGCTACCAACATCTGTTCAGCTTCGTGCGGCAACCAGGTACACTGCCAGGAGCAGAGACAATCTGTCTTGCACCTCAGCAGCAGTACCTGTTCTCCAGGGACTTAGTGGAGGTACCCCCTGCTTCACTAACAGCTCCAGAAGTAGGGGACCTCATCAACTGGGCCTGGGAAGACCCCCAGTCGGCAGGTGGAGATGGGACCAAGGTCTCTCCACTGGCCCTACAGGGAAGTTGGGCAACCAGCCCAGATCCCCAACCACAGCCGAAGCTATCGGGAGTAAGGACAGTCGGTCCTAGTCCCCAGCGGCAGCTCTCCTTACCGAGAGAGGAGACAATCGGTCTCTCTCGCCAGCGGCAGCCGGAGTTATAGGGGGAAGAGATGATCGGTTCCTCAACCCTACAGCAGAAAGCATCCCAGGGAGTGGAGATGTCGGGAGAGGAGAAAACTGGTCCCTCTCCCAAACTACAGGGGGACAGCACCCCTGACCCCAATGGTGCAGATGGGACCGGGGTCTCTGCACCAGCCCTACAGGGATGCTGGAAAGCTGTCTCAGATCCCCAACAGCCCCCAGGAGAAATATCAGAGGGAGGAGGTGGACGATCCCTCTCCGCAGCAGAGAATTCCCAATCGGGTCCTTTGGGTAGTGGCTGAGAAGGCAGTATCTATTCACCCCATCCCAGTGGAAGAGCTGACATCCGGGCAGAGTGCTGCTGGCCTCTGCCCTACCTGTCCGCTTGTTACAGGGCAGGACTTTGCACCGGTTTGCACAGCAGAAGTGCTGGCACCAGGGCAGAATGCCGTTGGCCTCTGCCCTCCCCTTGTCCTTAGTCCAGGGCCTCTGATCTACCCAGCTGTAACGCTGGCTGCTGGGGAGAGCACTGCTGGTCTCTGCCCACTGGGTAACCCCAACTCCAAGCCGGACAGCAACAGAGATGCCGGGAGTACCAGATGCCCACTTAACAGATGGGGACACACAGGACAGAGCCGGAATACAGAGGTCACCAGGTCCAGTACTTGTTTATGAGTGGGCTACTTGACTAACTCAGGTACCGACTGACAGGAGGTCAGGTACCTGGTTAGGCTTCCGTTCGGGGGAAGAATATGTGACGAAAGTAACCTTGCCACTGGTTCTGACAAAAGACTATGGGCCCTTTAAAAACTGTGGCAGGGTCAGAGAAGCTTTTTATGTTAGTAATAGATTGGAGCGCTCTCTATTCCCAGCATGATGGGGTTAATTGGTGGGAGTCACCCTTTGAATGTTATCAACCAGGTAAATGTTATTAACCAGCACTAGGGTTTTAAAAGGTTAGCCTCTGAAGACATTGGGGGAATCTAACAGCTGGGAGAGAGGAGGCAGTTAAGCCTGAGACTCTGAGAAAAAGGTACTGTGTGAAACCTGCTTAAAGTGCTGTATTTCATTTTGTTTAAATCTGGGAACCAGATTAGCTGGCCAGTTGAATAGTTAGTAATACTGTTGTTTAGTAAGTCTCCAAGTTGGAGTAGGATTTATTTTATTTTTGTGGGAGAGCACAACCTTGTATATATTGTGGAAAGTGAAGATAAACTGCAATACTATTTTATCCTGACTGTTGCATTTGAAGTTAATTGTGACGAGCCTGGCCATCCTGCCACAAAACGTATGTCATTTATGTACTTTTGTACTCCAGAAAGAGCGACCCGTTAGCCCTAATTCCCTGGAACTGTTTTGGGCATAGGACCATGTACACGGTCGGTCAAAATTATGACTTCCATGGAAATCCCGAACCGATCTGGGTGATTTTTGGATATGTTGTTCCCCCAGATCAGAGGGTTTCCATGTGTTTTAGGGGTTCTTTGGGGTGTTGTTGTGTTGCATGTTTCTTGTACTGAGAGAGAATTTAATTATGTTTGTGTACTCAAGTAATTATCTCCCAGGTACAGGGGAGCGATTATCCTATTATGTATGGGAGCGTCCTGGATCTGAGAGCCAATGTAATTGTGTATTTGTCTCTACTGTGGTTTACTTTCAGGTCCAGAGGGGAGTACCCCTTGCATGGGGATTGACATATAAGGCCAGTTGTGGCTACCAATAAATGAGTTCCTGGTTACCCTCAACATAGTCTCTTCTCATGTGTGTAGGGAACCGCTATACCAACTATAATCACCAGCTCTTGTAAGAGCTACACTGCTATACTCTCTTACAGAAGAGGCCTTCCAACTGGGAACTGGATCCAGGAGTTTGGTCCAAGATGGGAAGGGACGGCGAGCCCCCAGCCAAGCTGCGGCGGCTAAGGTGCTTATGGTGTCTGGTGCGATGCTTATGGTACTCGACGACAGCTAGGAAGCAGCGATATGCAGAGGCACCCAGTCGGGGTGCCAGGCGGTCCGTCACAACTAGGAACTCTCTCTGTATAACACCGTAAGATACTGGCAGCTCTGGGGGGGGGAGGCGGCTCTCTGTATA